AGATACGTATTTTTTTTACTTCAATTTAACAAGAAATAGCTTATATAACAGGCATTAAAGTTGAGGAGTGGGGGCTCGCTACGTCACAGTTGAATAGAAAACGTACCATAACGTGACGTCATGCGAAATTTCAACTCCATGTAACGCCGTAATTTTTATAAGCCTAGACCAATATATAAACTAATTTTATCCCGCTTAATGGTTCCCTAGAGATAAATATAGCATTAAATCATAATATAAACGAAGACAGAGCCGCTAATGGAGAACTAGTAGAAAAATTGTATATAAAATTTAAGATTATAATGATATTAAAGCACAAAATTAAATCACACCATTTAATACTAGTTATTAGACAACCTATTCATATTTCAAACAAACTAGAATGTATACAGTAAAGCACCGTGAGCTAACTTCCTTCAATATGATACCCCAAGCCTCTGAAGATCAAAGATTATGCTAATAAGATGGCGTTCTAGTCCATTTCCCTTACATTTAATGTCCCCAACTAACGGGCTAATGTACTGTATCTTATGAGTGTAACGACACTACTTACAAGTAGCCATGAGGTCGAATGACACAGTATATATTGTAATTTGTCTGGAAAGGTAATTGATTATATTTCAGTCTTTTTTTAAACGACTTCAAAAAGGTTTCAGCATAGTATAGTAGGAGATTTTAAGTATATTAATCGACTAAAAATGGAGGTTCGCACTTTAACACAGTTTTGTCGCCGTTTCGAGAAAAGTATTTTTAGTGCTACCTACTATAATATATAAAAAATAGCATGATTTTGTTTAAGATTATTCAACAGAAAACACTTACGAGGGTCAAACTGAAAGTTCTTAGAAAATCAAAAACTGATTACATTAGCCAGTTATTAGTTTTATTATATTTTCAAAATATTGTCCATTCACGTCAATACACCGCTGCATGCGATGGAACCACTGGGAAAAGCACTTTGCCCACTCGTCCTTAGGGGTCTCTTCAATGGCATCGCGATACGCAGCCACCGCTTCTTCAGCATTCATAAACCGCTTTCCTTTAAGTTTTTCTTTAATTTTTGGAAATAAATAAAAATCACAAGGCGCGAGGTCGGGGCTATACGGCGGCTGACCCAGTAATTCAACGTTTGATGTCGCCAAATAGTCGATCGTTCGCTTGGCGGTGTGCGACGAGGCGTTGTCGTGGTGAAGGAGGATCCTACTGCGAGGTCGTTTCTCTCGAACTTTTTCCAAGACAAGTGGCAAACAATTGGTAGTGTACCATTCTGCAGAAACTGTTTTTTGATCCTCTAACACAATTGTTGCAAAATAACCTATCCTTCCAAAGAACGAGGCCACCATTTTTTTTCCCGCACTTCGATCTCTCTTCACTTTAGTTGGCAACTCCTCGAAAGGAAACACCCACTGAGCAGATTGTCTTTTGGTTTTAGGATCATAACAGTAAATCCAGCTTTCGTCACCTGTTAGTATGTCGAACACAGCATTTGAGTCACCTCCGTTAAATCTTTCAATCATTTTACGACACCAATCCACACGATGGAGTTTTTGAGCCTCAGTCAAATTATGAGGTATCCACCGGGCGCAAAGCTTCCTGACCGCTAAATGTTCGTGGAGGATTTTGTGCACTTGACTCATACCGATGCCTAAGCTTGTCCGAATCTGTTGATAGGTCACTCTTTTGTCAGTCTCTATCATACGCCGCACAACACAGATGTTATCTTCAGTCGTCGCCGTAGAAGGCCGTCCCTCACGTAAATCATCAGTGAGATTAGTGCGACCACGTTTAAACTCATTAAACCAGTTGTAAACAGTCGCACGAGATGGGGCTTCATCGTGAAAGGCCAATCGTAGTCTATCATAACTTTCTTGTTGACTTAAATGACATCGAAAGTCATAAAAAATCATTGCACGAAAATTTTCTCGTGTTAAATTCATGATGACGTGACACAGACAATTTTCAATTTGCCGCCAAATCGTAAAACAAATGACAAATGAATGAAATATATACTCAGTAATATTGGCAAAGAGTTATATTTTCAAATTTTAGAATTATTTTTTTATTATATTGTTTATAAGTGGCCAGTTCTAAGAACTTTCAGTTTGACCCTCGTATTAAACAAAACCGTCCTAATACAGTAAATATCAGTTGGTAATCATTACTTTCTTTCACATTTATGATGATATAACATCTATGACGTTATACCTAATTATAGTCTTCTTTGAACATCGTCGTAGGTGTGACCAAACACAGTAGCGACATTAGCTAACAATAAGTCAGGGTCCTACTTGGTTTTCGTGGTCCTAGTTTTATATTAATTTTCTTAGTTACCGTTTCTTTGTTTTCGGTGGACCTGTTACTTCTATTTGTAATGTAAAAACAATGGTCCAAAAACGGGATGAGTTCGAAATAATCTCATAATTTTGCCAATTACAAACACAGATCTTAACTGTACGTTGAATATCTTCCAGTAAATGTGCGCTTTGCACAAATGCTGTATACGGACAGCAAATACCAAGTTCTCCGTGAGGAGATGGTCAAATCGAATACCAGAAACCTGGTCTACCACTGTCGGGCAGATAAGAGCGACTGTGATGCTGCCTTAGCCAAAATGAGATATAAAGCTAGCAAACACTTCTACGCACTTTCCAAGGCTGTGGTGGACTACGTGAAGAACAAAAGACAAGCTAGACCAACTGGATACGTCGGTGAGTACACTTCGGTGACCTTTAATGAAACATGTTGCCAAATATCATCGCCATTAATTATAACTACTTAGACTATTAGTTTTACCACTGCTGGGGCACAGGCCTTCCCCATTGATGGATTCGAAGAGGGTGAATGGGTCAAGGCCCACCACGCGGATTGTTGGGTGTTGAAGACTGCAGGTACAACCATAAGTAACAGCATAACGTGCTTCTGAAACATGGAAAGCAAGAGTTAATAACTTTTTTATCACCCATCCTACGATCGCAATAACCGGTATACATTGGGAAAATTGCTTAACAACCACATCGCAGACCGAACGCGCTAAATACTGCGCTATGGGGCTTAAAATACCTCTACCATATAGTTATCCACCAACGACTGACCAAAGTGGTCAGTTATGGACCCGTTCTCCCTTCGTTCCTTAGTTCGATTCCATACATGGGGTGTGCGATCCAAATATATAGACTAGTAAGGAAATGCCACATAAGAAGAGTCACAAGTTTAAAAAGTACAGAAATTTGAATCATCGCCGCCAATATTACATTAATAAGTATGCTAATTTATATATTTATCAATGAGGCTTCCTAAAACAGTAAGCGTTCTTGGGCAGCACTTCCTTTTATTGATAACTAGCTTTCCGACTGCAGCTTTGTCCTAGTGGTCCTAAGGTAAAATATGTTGTATCCTCTGATGGACTTAAGTTGATCACCTTTAGTTTGTCGTGTCCTTCAATTTTTAATTCTATTTTATTATCATATATTGAATTTGTAATCGGTGCATAAAATTTAAAATTATGGAAGAAATGTTAATGAATATTAAACAAAACCACTGGAATATATTTGAGCACTGACAACAATTATTTCTTGTATTTGATATGTAAACGTTGAATTCACAATTCTATATTAATATTTAACTTTTTCTTACTGAAAAATACACTGAGAATCAACCGTTTCAGTTCGTGAAAAAAAATTGCTTTTTTTTCAGATATCACTTGAGAAATTTAATAGTCTTTCTAAAGTTTTCCGTAGCTTCGATTAAAATCCTATATCGGGATCGGAACATTTTTTTTTAAGTATTATTCTGTAAAATGAATATATCTTCTTCTGTATATACTCAGGTACCGCTACCTTCTGCCAGGACAACATCTGCGTGCCTGACACCGACCCACCTATTGTATTTGGTGGTTGCTTCACCCTCGTCTCCTGCGGCGGTAACCAGAGCTGGCACCTCGATCCTGTCATATATAAGAAGAAGAAAAATAGATTCTTCTAGCATTCTTCCATGTATTAAATTTTTTTGTTAATGAGTGGTTTTTGAACCGACATAGATCAACAATTCCTTGTATTTCAAAGTAATAGATTTGACCTTTCCCCGGTTAAAATGTAATGTTTTCTATACTCACTTAAGTACCAAGACATCTTTGAAAGCATGAAAAGTTTACTGAATTATTTGATACACTTTATAAGTAAAATGTATATGTTAAAACAACTTTCGCAAGGGTCGTTTTTGGGTAACCAAAAATTATTATCTCGAGCTACTCCGTGCTTCGGAAGGCACGTTAAGCCGTTGGTCCGGGCTGCATTTGCAGTCGTTAATACTCTCCAATCCGCATTGGGCCAGCGTGGAGGGTCATGGCCCATCCTCCTTAACCATCCATAAGGAAGGTCTGAGCCCCTGCAGTGGGGATGTAAAAGGGCTGGTGATGATGATGATGATGATATATTAAAACATATATACACATTGGTAATTATCATAATATTGATTACTTCCAGACCACCGATGACAATACAATAATGTATTAACTATTTGCCAAATACTAAAATATAAACTAAACTGTAGTAACGTCTTCAAGAATTTTCCCCGTGACAAACAAAACAGCATACAAAATAGCACTTATATTAGTACGACGAATACTTTGAACTTTTATTTAAAATTTCCCAAAACAATAATAAAGATCCCCTTTCTTCTTTATAACATCTAAAACACTGTAATATTACACAATCCAAGGCACAATCATTCCAGAAGTTAAATCTCGCGTTAAAACCTTTTGCTTTTATAACCGTTGCCATAACATCAGTATAAAATTAGCAAAGAACGTGATAATCGAATCGTAATCTACGTCTGAAGTTCACGACTAGCGTAATACAAAATAAAAAGAATGCAAGACCACCTGTTTCATTGTACGAACAACAATACGAGGAGTATTGTTTCTCTTATCAAGATAATGAGAATAAATACTAAAGCAAAGGTTTATAAGTGAACATAGTTGGTCGCGTTCGAAAGATGTTACGATGCTGACCAAAAAGATTATTGACATGAAGCTGTTACATTTTATAGTTATTATCCAGATAAACAATTGTGTGCGGGCAGAGATTAGACACAGTATCGTGGGCAATAAGTAAGTAAATATAAATCATATTTTTGCTTGAGCATCCAAATAGCTAGACAGTAAAGTAAGACATCTAATCTCGAAGATTTAGACCCAAATAAGATAAATATCGCAGGGTATATGATGATTAAAAACAGAGGTTGTATCAGACTTATAAAAGATATGTTGAACTGCCAGTCTCGTCTCAATGCTTTTTATTTCTTACCACCAAATACTTTAGTGATTCCCAAAAAGTTTGAATATCTGTTCCTTAGTTAAATCTGAACTAATGATCATATTCCCACCTTAACTAATATTTCTTATTATATATTTTAATGGTTACAATTACCCAATTTCATATTTGATTTCTTGAGGAGTTTTTGAAAAATTCCAGGTTATTTAATGTGAAACCAGTAGGCAGTATTGTTGCCAAAAACTTCTTGCCGCTCACCGAAATACCACCGCCACATTTGCCTCATGAACACTATCATTCTGGGCGACGGCATCTCGATGACTGTAGTGAAAAACCTAGGAACAGGGAAGTCTACAGTGGTGGTAGAGTAGCCATATTCGGAGAATACTACGATGATCTAGTAGCAAAAACTGTCGCCACTGTAGTTATACCTGACCATATAGACCGTGAGTATTTTTAACTGTTTATACAACCTTTATATAAGTAAGATTTAAATATAAGTAAGATTTCAGGTATCAACATGAAATCTATAATTGGAGAAAAATCAGAAAACATGACAATTGAATTCTGACAAGGGTTTACTTCTCGAAAGAAATAAAAGTCTTATCTTCCATGATTACAATAATAATACTATTTTTGGATAGTGTTTCTAGAAACCATAAAAACTACGTACAACTTAAAAATAATTGCTATTTATGAATGCAAACATGGTTACTTATAAGGATTGCGAGACATTTATCTTTTGAAAAACCTGGTGTGACTTTTTGTCTTCTAGGCATCACACACACTCTTCTAGGCATTTCCATAAAATTCACTTCATAATAATTGCTGAAAATTTCCAGGTAAACATTTCGAAGTAACAACCCAAGTGCCATACTTAACCGTCGGTCCCATAGAAGCATTAGGCTACCATCCTAGCACGATGAAGAGCGAGCACCCGAGCGAATGCGAAAAGATCTACCAAGACCACTTAGCCGAGCAGTATTCCGACGAGACCACCGACTATTCTGAGGAATCGCTAGAGATGGCTCGGATGCCGCTGGCCCCCGTCGAGGGAGAAGCACCCTCATCATTCGAATTCGAGAAGCTGTATAGCGACTTCGAGAAATGAACAAATTACTGTATAACACTTGCTATTACTGTATGCACTTTTGTATTTTGATACGATTTTTAATATACTTATAAATAATATTGCTATCTTTGTAGAAGTGAAATTAAACCTCTCCTAAAAGATAATAACTACGATATGAATTATTGAATACGTTATTAACATTTTGTCTGTATAGCAACGTCATATAAATTGTTATTTATCTCTCTATCTTCGTCTCTTTTTGCGGACAAGCAAGTCTCACACGCATGTGATTTAGGCCTTGTAAAAGTTTCAGTAAACTCATAAAAATAAGACGTTTTTTACCTTATAACCACTTTTCAAAATCTAGTTAGAATTATGCTTTATCATACTTACTTTTACAATACCTCTTAAGTCTAAGTAATTCAAATTATTAGCTGATATTCCTTAATGGAGAATACTTATTCCTACATCAAAATAATATTAATGTGCACTTGAACTTAGAAGACAGAAATCTTGATTAGATTACTTGATACTTTTTAGGTAATTCCGTTGGTTAGTGTTAGAGTCGCCAACCACATACTTTACCTATATGATATCTGTTCTACAATCCACATCTAGCGGCTTCCTGCAATCTTTATAAGATCTTTGATCCATCTGGTGGCCTGAACATTATCCGGTATGTGATCGCCATTCGAGAACTTTACTTACTATATTCTTTATTTCAAATAAAATCACATCGAATGAAATACAAAATTTCGAAGGAATATTCCAGATAAAGGCAAGTCGAGATTACAAAATATGCAGGATAGAGTTAACCTAGACAGCACTTGTTTTAGCAAGAAGGATATTTTATGGAATGTATATTCCTATATGATGTATTGGATAGTCCAGACAACCAAAGCCTTCAAAGAGCCCGCAAAAATATTTTTGTCGATCAAAATGTACGTTCATATTCCGTGTAATTGATATAACTGTCCAAAAATCATCTAAATATTATAATGACATATAATAGCAAACTCCGCAAGAATAATCACTATGATTGAGAAAAGTAAGCTACATTTCTTAGGTTAGCGCCTTCGGTCTTTCTCTCTTTTCGACACCAGGAGTGGTGAACTTATAGACCAACGTTGAAGATGACCAGTCTGTTTCTAGTTGCTTTTCCCGTTTCCTGTGAACGGGAACTGAAACTGTGAACGCCTGACCAAGCTAGCGAGTATGTACACGTAATTAAGTAAGTAAGTACTCTATTCAATCACATCACATCACACATCAGAGTATCCACGGCGAATGTTTTGTTATTGCAAAAATATCGTCTGTTAACTCTAATATCTTACTTTTACCGGCGGTTTCTGAATTGAGAATAGTACAACTGATTATTCTCAGTAGCTTAAGGTTTTTTACGTTTCACATGGAAAAAGTTTTATCAAACTGCTATTAACTGATCATTAAAAAAAACTAAAACTAGAAAAGAAATCTCTTTAAGTGACGTTTAAATATAATTTGAGACTCTCTTAACTTTATATTCTCAATTCAGAAACACCAGGTTTTACCCATATCTATATTCGAAAAATTACTTAAGAAAATATTATAGTTTAAGCAAATATTTTTAACCAACAGATTAGAATTTAAATGAAATAAGAACTGTATAACTTATAATAATAGTATTCTAACTATTCACAATACTTACTACGTTAAAATACTTCTTTATTCGGTGTAAGTATATGCTTAAATTATGACATATTCTCAAGTGATTAATTCTCTCGAGTACCTCGGTGGCGTAGTGGATAAGCGCCGCGGCCCGCGATCGTAGTCGTTAAGCAACTTTCGCAAGGGTCGGTCACGGGATGGGTGACCAAAAAATTATTATCTCGAGCTAGTCCGTGCTTCGGAAGGCACGTTAAGTCGTTGATCCCGGCTGCATTTGCAGTCGTTAATACCCACCAATCCTCATTGGGCCAGCATTGAGGGTCATGGCCCATCCTCCTTAACCATAAGGAAGGCCTGAGCCCCTGCAGTGGGGACGTAAAAGGGCTGGTGATGATGATGATGATGATTATTTCTCTCGATACGAGTGTTTAATGTGTTAATATTGTTATCGTGTGCAAAAGTTTATTTTTCAATGAAAATGAATTTGAAAATATACACGTTATCATTTGAAGCTTACAGGACTATTTAATATTGATATTTAAAACTATACAGGGCCGGCTTGTAAATTAAATTTGTTTGGCAACTTGACGTCCTTGTCTTTCTCGTCAAATAACTCTTCCGTGTCATCGTCGTCAAAATCATCCATGTCCAGAGGATTCCTGTGACATGAAATAAGTCGTATGTGTTAATTATATTTTGGCTGAAAACGTTTTCAGTTTTTCATTCGATTAAAAAAATGTATTCATATTCAATCTTAAGAAATAAAAACGTCGATTCTTCATTCAATTCGATTCGTCAGTGAGTCAAAGTATCTAGATTCTTTTTTTAATTATACCGTAAATTGATTTCTTATTTAATTAAACCTTTAATTTCTATTTGAATTAAACCTTTAACTCCTGGAACTCAATTTTTTTCACAAAGTGAAATCTTCAATTTTTCGCTCTCGTTCAGAGTGTGTTAATCCGTTTACAAAAAACACGCACAACACCTAAAACTAGGTTGTATTTTAATTTGCTAGAATTAATTTGATCAACGTAACATTTTTTTAAGTTCGTATTACCTATATGTAATTATAACATTATTATTTTTGTAACAAACCTGCTTTTACTAAAAAGCGTAACATTAGCCAATAATAATTAAACGACATTTTATCCTAAGCTTTCACAGTAAAATCTTATATTAGTAATAAATCACTTACTTGTTCCAATCTATCTTGTGTCTCTTCCTGCAATTATACAAAATAAAAGCATCCGTTAGTAACTATTGTAATTAAAATAAAGTTTATTATACAAATTAAACAGTAAGACGCCGATATAATAAAACAGACACGTAGACATTACAATTATAATGATGTAGATTTAATTTCTAATGGATACAATTCCTTCAGAGTAATATGAATTATTTCTTAAGGATTGACATTAACTGTCTCTTTTTTATATTATACTAGAACTAGCTATTTTTCCGTGACTTCGCCCGCGTAAATTATAATCAATGTCACCTGCATATGACGTAGCTTCCTGTAGGTGATAGAATTTTAAAAATCAGTTCAGTACTTTTTTAAGATATTTTTTTTTGAGTCTATGTAATGCAAACGAACAATCAAATCTTTCATTTTTTTTTAATATTGTACCTAGATACCAGCTGATCCTGAGAACTTTCTGGGTTTTATAGCAAAATATGTTTTTACTAACTACTGGACTGATTATTATAAACAACGGAAGGTGAAAATCTTGCTACTCATAAAAATATAAAAACTGGAGTTCTTCTTCTTCTTTTTAATGAATAGCGTTGCTCTTGTGGATTTCGCCAGAATCCATTGATTTGCTCAGATTATTTCAAAAACAGGAGTTTCATCGACAATAAGTTTATTGTGACAGATTGACTTTTTGGCCTCCGTTGCTATTTAAAAAAGTGTTAAATTTGAAAAGAAAACTAAATAAACAACGAGAGCGACATCCGTTGCTATCATCTACATTTATAATAGAGAGAAATATAGTAATGTTTGTCCACGAACGAAAATTCGGAGTAACTTTCTTAATATTTCTTAATAGAGTAACTTTTTTATAATTTTGTTCGTGAAGATTCTGCGTGTCTGAAACAGTGTCAGGTCGTACCTCCGTTGCATCATAAATTATGAAGTAATTTTCTTTGGAGTCATATTAACGTTTTGAAAATAAAGGAAATTCGTTTTCGTATAAACAGAGCAGCCACAAGAGCCACGACATGTAAATTTCGTAGTGTAAATTTGTGTATATATATGTGTTTTCGATATATATCTGAATATACGCCTTTTATGCTACATTATCTTACAAAGAAAGAATTAATAGTTTCATAAGTTTGCAGGATTTATGTTTTTTAAGTTACCTATTCGTCGCTATGTAATCCTGGTCCATGTATTCCTCGGAGATTTCTACAGATAAAGGCTGTCCCCTGTGATCTTGTAGTATACCAAAATAACGGGGAGCCCTTGTCACGGAAAATAATAGAGCTGTAAAGATTTATAATTTTTTAAGCACAAGACAAATAAGTTAGAACATATTCGGCACGCACTTTATATCTTCACCTTACGCTATGTCAAAGAATGTATGAAAATTCATCTTTTATTCTCTATATTTTTTTTTTTAAGAGTCATTAACAATCTTATATAATCAAGAATTAATTCAACAAACTCACAATCATCTACAGCGTGTAGTCCTCTAAAAACTAAACACAATACTATTAAAACTATATGTAATTTTAAATTAATATCACACATTGTAACAATGTTCTTTCTCTACTATAAAACACCGAATAAACTCCGTGTAACCAATACAGATTTATTTTGAAAAATTTTCATGACATGGTCAAGTCGGTAAAACGGTAAAAGTTACTTCCCATTAATTTAAAGTTGTTGCCAGAATACAGTTCAAGAGTAGAGTATACATGTATACAGTTTTCACATAACTTCCGCTGAAGTGGTAAGTTTGCAAACATTACCATGTTTACTGTTTTTTCCAAAGTTCTAAATGCGCTTTGAACAATGCAGTTTGAATACTGACTAATTTTCTTTTTGTGGTCTCTATTTACCGGTTATATCAAACAAACAATTATGTATGCCTTCTTAATTTGCTCATCGGAATAGAAATAAATAGTTGTAATTATGCGAAGATATAATTTTGGGATTTAATTGTATCAGGCATTATCTTGCGGAAGTCCATGAAGGAAGTCCATCTAGCAACTTCCTCACCTAACTTTCTCGCTGTAACGCTAGCCATAGATATAAAAAGGTTTTTTTTTCAGTGTTCTTGTTTTTTATTATTTAATTATTTATCTATGGTTTTGGTTATTGTAGTTTTCTGAATTATATAATATTTGACTAAAAACAAAGCTACTTCAAAAGTGAAATAAACCAA